ATGGTATTTATATACTTAAGAATATATGTAAGCATAGAAGAGCAGGTGATGAAGGCTAGTGAAGCAAGCCAAGACTTCTGGAAATACCGAATTTGCAGAGAAGCAAGACATGCAGTGGCCCTTGCCAGTCCCGTGCACTCCAAAAGCATAAGGCAGCCTTCCTTCAGAGAAAAGAGAGATATGAAATTGGCTCAAAATTCGTAAGATTAGTTTTTTTTTTTTTTTTTTTTTTTTTTACTGTCTGCTCTGTAAGTCAGGGCAAGACAGAAAATGTCCAGTGAAAGTAAGATTTCTGCTTTAAAAAAAAAAAATGCAGGGAAGAATTTTTAAAGCTGTCAAAATGCTCTGGGCACTTTTGAAACAATAGTGGTTTCGGAAGCGTGACAAATGATCCATTTTGTTGTTTTCGCAGTTATTTTTCTTAAAGTTGTTTAGAAATTGACACATTAAGGGAGAAAGAAAATTAATGTGAAATTTTTAATGTAAACTCCAACCAAATTTAATATCCTTACATCACAGGACTTGATTTAGATTTGCATGGGATTAATATGGAAGGAGAAGGGCTGGTTTTCATTGCAGGAAAAATTGTTTTTATTTTGGTTACTGAATTAAGCGTATTCCTTATTTGGGTGCTTGAGCTTTTATTTGAAGCTTTTTGTGCAACTTGAAGTRCTATGAAGGTATCTTTTTGTTTGATTTTCCTTCTTGGTTAGAATTGGAGCATTTATCAACCATGTCTCGTGTTCAGCCCTTGCAGGGTGGGCTAGGCAGGAGGGGACAGCATCCTGTGCCGCACAGCGAGGTGTCCCCCCAGGTGCCACTGTGCTGTGCTCTGTTCTTAGCACCGAAAAATCACACTTGAGCAGCTGGCTGAAATGTCAGAAATGTCATTACTTTAGGACAAAGTCCTTGTTGATATGAAAAGTGATTTTTAAGGTATTTTTGAGGCCTTGAAATCAAAGGAGCAAAGACAGAGAAAACAAAATTGCCTCCTTTGCTGAAAATGTGGATGGAAGCAGCCAATATCTTCAGTGCAGGAGAGTCCAGGTTGCACTGCCGATTACTGTGCAATGGAAGGTGGCTGGAGATGACAGGGCTTTTTCTGCTAAAAAAAAAAATTGCTTTTTCCTTGGGAGACAGCAGAAGGATGATGGGGGGGTGAGGTTTTGTATCTGCTTACTGTTTGGAAAATTAACTAAGCTGCTGTGCTTCCCAAGGGATTAAAATGTTAAAAATCTTATTTTCTGATGAGAATAAGTGAGGCACAATCAGCATGTGCCTTTGAAAATTTTATCCTAGGTACTGAAAAAGGAGCAAGTTTCCTGGCACCTTCTAGAAGTGCAGTGGGCTAAGTGGAAAAAGAGGCTGTCATCTTGTTTTGTGATGAAAACCCCAGGAATCACTGCAGCTTGCTACTTAGTGATCTGTGTATGAGCAGAATAAAGGTGAAAGTAGTTGATTAAATAATTAAAAATAAAGGCATGAAAGCAAGACAAAAAATGCCAGCTTTGTAGTTAGGCTGCTGTTGCTGTCTCTATTCCTCCCCTTCCCAGCAAAGCTGAAGCAGAGGACTTGGCTTGTACCAGTCCTGCCTAGGGCTCTGTGTTGGCATGTGCCTATGGTTGGGAAGATTTGGTGGTTTGAGCTTATCTTTGGCCTCTAGCCWGATATCAGTGCAGACTCTTGAGACAATACCTGATGTGTGGTGGTATCTGCCCACAGCACCGAGGCTGGAGTCCTGGTTTGGCCTTTCAAACTAACATCCATTAAGGTGCCCTCTGTTTCTCATCACTATTAGCACCCAGTGCTCAACAGGTCCCGTGTCAGCACTGCACTTGTGAGGGGGCTTGCTCTCCAGCTTGATCTTGGGCTTGTGACTGAGTGTTTTGAGTTGGGACTTGGGAGTCGCTGCCTTCACAAGTTTGTAGTAAAATAAAATGTGACTTGTAGGTTACCCCAACACCGCAATCAAAAATTTGAAACCCTAAAATGTTTAATTTAGCATTCCTAACTTCAGAATGACTGGAAAGGCTTTTCTTTTTTTTCTTCTTCTCCTTCCTAAAGTAAAGAAAAAAAGTTTGTTCTTGGCAGAGGTTTTATAGGCCAAGTTGCAGGGCAAAATATTGGGTTTTGTGTAGGGGATTCTAATGGAAAAAGCTGAGCACCAAATTCACACAAGGTTCTTCTTAATTGTAGAAGCCAAAAGCTCTTCCAGATGTCTGTCAGCCCAACATGCTGAATGCTGCCATTGCTGGTTTTAATAAAAGCTCATATTCAGCAAACTATTACTGATTTACTGTATACTACTCAAGCCAGCAACTGTTTTTSCTCTAAAAAGCTAGCAAACAAAGACCTAATCCGTTCACTGATTGTGCTCCAGCAAGTCATTTACTGTATTAAATGCCATCCAGGTTCCATTATTTCACTAGAGATTTTTCTCCAGATTGCCATTGTTCAAGCTGGAATTTCAGAAACTCTTGTGGAGAAGGACATGGGCAAGAAATGCACAGGAACAAATCGGTAAATGGTGCGTGCAAACCAGGCAGAGCCGCTAACGCGAACGTGTACGTGACATGCGCCGCCAGACAGGCATTTCTGAGGCAAGTTACCTGTTTGCACATGCAACCAATAACTACTCTGAAGTAAAATAGAAGCTGAAAAAAAGTAGGAAAAGGGTAGAAGACAAATATAGGGAAGTGTGTCATGCCTTTGTGAATACAAAAGTGAACAAAACTAATAGCAAAATCATCAGTCAGAGAGTAGCAAATGAAATCTCTAAGCAATGATGTAATTAGAGGCCATTAATCATTATAAAAGATCATTTCCCTTTAAACATCTGCTCCCCTTCACTTGGCAGCAGCCTGGGCAGTGTCGTGAGTGATGGGATTGCGCTGAAGGGCATGTGTTATCTGAGAAACAGCGTCGGCCATCCCGGCCTGACAGGATCTGGGACCGTGCGGCTTCTCTCCTGTTCAGGTGTAGCATTAAGGAAATAAGCGGRGGGAAGGTCAGACATTGCTCACAGTGGAAAGGAAAACCTGGTTTTCAGAAAACCTGAACCCAGCCTGCTCAATAGTGTGAGGGAAATTTAATTTTGGTGCCAGAGGATTTGAACAAAGTAATCCAGGGGCCTGGAGCCTGCTGTGAAGCAGAGGCAGAGCGGGGAAGCCGCCGCAGATGGGCCTGAAATGGAGGACTCCCTCTCCCGCTCCCAGCCCTTGGGGCCAGCGCGGGTCTCCAAGCCCTGACGGCTCCTGGAGGAGTCCACAGGGCAATGGGAGTCTGGGCAGCCATCTTTGGGAGCACTTGGAGCTTGTGTCAGCTCCGGCCTTCCCTGTGGAGAGGGCCCTTGACCTCCTTGCCCATCCACCTTCCCACCATGAGGAGCCATGTTGGCAGTCGCCTTTGAACTCCTGTGAATAAATATAACTGAACAGAGCCCAACACCGCTGAGGTGGCCATGTGGATGCACAAAGCCACATAGGTGATGGGTAGAAACGCAGCTGACTCTTGCTGTTAGTGTCCATCCTTGGGATCCCGGGTAAGGTTTCTGATGTATTTTTTGTTTTAGGGTGAAAGTTGGGGCTCCTCAGCTCCTCTTCAACCATTAAATTGAGTCATTTACGGAGTAATTTTTAAAGTCAAACTTTTTTTTTTTTAACCTCTGTACAATTCAGTCACCTTGTTGCATTTGGTGCAGTTGGTAGCATGGGCAGTGGTTGTGGGCACTGTTAGTGACCCCTGCACGCCTTCATTCCACCCATGCCTTGCTGTGCTCCATGCCCAGGACAGGGGCTGTGCAGGTCTTGCAGGGATGTGTCAGAAGTTGGGGCACTTTGAGACCCTCTAGCGAGAGGGCAGCTGTGGAGCAGCATCACTAGTGCCATTTTCCTTACACATTTCTAGTGTTTCTAGTGTCCCAAACAGTGTCCCTACTGCAGTATTTCTACTGCGTTTTGGGGAACCCAACTGCAGTATTTCTGCCTAACATATCGAGGGTGAAGTTATCCAGGAAAACCTGCCTTGCATAAAAACATCATCATGCCCGTCTGTCGTGCGTATCTAATGTGACCAAAGGTTTCCTTCCAAACTTCAAGCATAACTATGCAAATCTGCACACTTAATGCCATGTTTTGGATGGCACCCAAAACATCTCACACTTCAAGCAACTCTCTTTGAAGCAGATGTCTTTGCAGCCCTCTTCTGAAAAGGTGTCCATGTGGACTTAAACACGTGTGTTGAGCACTGTGGTTTTTAGATGAATACACCTATTTGTTCTGCCTGTAGGGTCTGAAATAGTGACCTGGCTGTTCCGTTTGGGTTGCGTGGTGAATTGCTTGTGGGCCTTCGATATTGTGAAAGTCATGGATGGGCACTCAAAAGCGTGGTTTTCCGTGGAAACACAAGTCCTATGTGACACTGGTCATTCCTCTGAGATTTCCAGCTAAATTGTACAAGGTTATTTGTATGAAAAGGACTGTGCTGGTGTCACTGCCACCTAACGGTCAGGATATTTTAGTTGGGATCAGTTTTCCCAGGGAAATCAGAAAGTTACTGGGATTAGTCTGGACATTTAAACTGCTCCTGCCTCCTGTAGGAGCTTTCTTACTGCCATGGGGACAGATAATGCTGCTAACTGCCCTCAGCCTCCTTTTCAGCATGTGATACACGTTTCAGGAGCCTCCCTGGGCACTCGTGTGCCTTTTCTTGTCCTGATAGTATTTAAGAGATAAGGAAATTGAATTTTATGATGACAAAATCCAAGAAGAAAAGCACAACTTTAATCAGATGGGTGTAATCTCCAAGGGAACAGGTACTTCATTTTAATTCTGCATTTCCCTTTGATGAAAACTTTAGTGAATGCTATTATGTGGAATTTATATGAAGCCTGGGTTTAGGTAATCAGCTTTAATATTTATACTCTTAGGGAAAAAAAAAGAATCATTAGTAAGCATGCATAATTAATGAATAAATTATATTTTTCCTTTGTTTTTCTTCAGGTATAAGGAAATGCTAGATTTAGTGATATCACCCAGCCTGACTGTAAATAGAGAGTGCCCTGACAGACTGAAGCTCAACCTTTCGAACGCCTATGCCGCAGCTCCAGATGACATAGAAGGTAGGTTGCCCCTTCGGCTTGCTCTTGGTTACTGTAACGTAGATGCACCTATATATTTAATCAAAGGAGGTGGCTGCAGGTCCTCGTGTCTTTCCTGGGCAGCCTTCTTGTCTGTGCTCCGAGCTTTGGCATTTGGCAGCCACCAGGGATGAAATCTTCTGGTGGTTCAAGGAGGCTCTGATGGAGACTTATCTGCTCCTTTCCTCCTGCTGCTGCCTTTGTCCCCCATTGTACTCCTCCAGCAAAGGAAACAGAAGAATGTTAAATCTGTTAAAAAAATTATTGGCAAGTGATGCAGCTGAACTAGTTTTTGCTAGCACAATCCCAGCTATTGTTTGCTGCGGTCAGGATCTGTCAGCCTTCCTGTTGGAGAGGAGCGAGCAGAAGGCTCTGGCTATTATGTTTTTCCGAGTATGCTTAACCCTTCCTTCCCAGGCTCCTAGAAGTCCGGGGGGATTTTGGTGCATGTTTGTGAGGCATTAGAAACTGCCAGATTAAGGCACGTGCATCGTGTCTATGGATGCTTGTCATGAGATACAGAATTATCACGTTGTGCCAGGGTAGCAGACAGCAGTAGACTCCCAATTATGTGAGAGAACAGAGAAAGGAGTCTGTGGATGTTTTCTGAATTTTGTTAATTTTGAGTGAGGTTATCTAAACTGAGTTTGTGATAAAAAGGACTTGTCTCCATTTTCAAATATTTCTGTCTTTTAATAAGATGTAATTGTTTCCTTAGAAATGGAGCCATTTTTCCATGGTGTCATTACTGATACTGGATGTTACACTAAAGTTCTAAAAAGACAATAATATCTTATATTGAATATTTTTAGTTAAGAGCTCATACATGATTGTTGTTTTTTTCCAATAAAAAGGCATGCAAAGGTAAGCATGTGTCTAAATTTAGTTAAAAGTCATATCAGATTAAAAGTATGTTTATTGTTTAGGTATTTCCATATTTCATTAAGTAAAATATGCTTCAAACTTTTAATTTGTCATTCTACGAACTGCTGAGCAAAGAGCAGCTCTGGATGCCTTCCAGAGGAGGATACTCCTGCAGCACTGGGGTTGTGCGGCGGGAGGAGCCCTGTGGATGCTCCTGCCTGCTATGGGGGCCTATGGCTTGGGGACACATTGCAGAGCCTCTCTGTCCCCCCCCAGCTCTGTGCCTGGGGTTGAGGGACCATCTCCTGTGCCTGGATGGGGCTTTGCATCCCCTGGCACACATCACATGGTGAGTGGCACCAGCTGATGCAAGGGGCGGTGGTGCCATCAATGGACAGTCAGGTACCRATGTTCTGCCTGCATGGAGAAACACTGAACCGTTAAACTGATGTGCTGATTATTACTGCTACCAAATCCTACTGAYCTTTCTGAGGCTGTTTTGTTGTTTATGCAGTTACTTACGCAGTTAAATAACATCTAAAGCCTCCAACTAGGACCTGAGAAACAGTATATATCAGATATTAAATATCTGCCTAAATCTTGCAAACCAGCAATTGTAAAAGCGGTGGTATCAGCTTGGCGCTAGAACAGACTATGATGGAAATCTAAGACCTGTCAATTTTGCTTTCCAGGTAACAGCAAAGCAGCACCGCAGTGTCCTCTCCATCTGTACTCCACAAAGTGAGTGTTCCTGCCAAGTTCTGTAATTTAAAAACCTTGTTTYTCTGAGAAGTCATTTTGCGGGGACTGCTGTCATCTTAAATGCATGTGTTGTAAGTCCTTCCACCTGTTCTCCTGCATGTCTCATTCCAAAGAAATGGCCATTTCTTAATCTTGTTAGATATAGAAAAAGAGAAGGTTRGAGGTACTGTGTGCTCATGCTCAGGCCCTGGAGAATGCAAACCACTGTGAATATAGGTGTGCGTATGAGCGACCATAGTGGAATATGTTAAAATGTCAGAGGTTTCCCATGACACTAGTTTGACAAACCCAAAATGAAGAGTCCAGATCAGATTGTAGTGTTTTTTTTAAGTCGTCTGCACATATTTTGCACAGTCCTTAAGTCCCCATGCATTTAGGTAATTGAATCTTTGTAGATGATAGTAGAAACAGTACATGGAAACAAACATTTGCCCGTCTCTAGTAAACTTGAGAGTTCCCCAAATCWCCCCATCACCCCAAGAGTACTATTTTATGAAAATGTCACTAGAAGCATCTTACTGTGCTCTAGAAAACCACATACGGTGACTATTGCCTTAGACCTTCTGTTTTCTTGTTCTGAATAGACATTATCCCCATATAGTGACGGTCCCGCCCTTCCCAGCAATGGCAGCATATGGGCAGACTCAGTACAGCGCGGGACTCCAGCAAGCGGCTGCCTACACGGCCTACCCTCCTCCGGGGCAGCCCTATGGGATTCCCTCCTATGGTGAGTAGTCCAGCATCCTGTGATCCTTGAGTACATCATCTTCCTCCTAGAATATGTCTGAAGCTTTTACTTTAAAATGAAAGGCCATTGCAATCCTAGTAGTGACCTCTTAGGCTTAGAGGAAAATCTGAATTTAAATGTGTGTGTGTGTGTGTGTGTATGTGTGTGTATATATATGATTTCTTTAAAGTGTCTATCAGCTTTTGATGTCTTGAGCTATAGTTCTGCAAACTAGATTTGGAGGCAATCAGTAGTCAGTGGAGGCAAGAGGAGACAGCATGAGAAACTCAGGTTTAGAAAGACATACCATTGAAGAGTAGTATGTAGTGAGGGTTCCTGTGACTTGCTGCCAAGACAGTCCCTTGTAATAAATACGATATTTAGGTAAATAAGATATTTAGGCTAAAATTAGGTAAAACACTTTGCCTTTATTGATTCCTTCTTGAGCTTAATGATATAAGCTATTTTAAAGAACCTACTGTGTAATATTATAGAAAAAAAGCCCCAGCAGAGAGTAAGGCATGGTGAGATGCTGAAGTGTCTTGGTTTTGGAAGACACCTTGTATTTAGATGGTGGTTCTGTGTGGAAACACTGAGAACTAGGAATATCTTTGCCCTCTTGAAGACCAAAGAGGAGCTCCTCTCGCCAAGCTGCTTTGGGCTTCTCACCCCCACTTGATCCCGTGCGTGCTGAGCCTTGAGGCGTTAACGTGGCTGGTTCCTGGTCGCTCTTAAGCTCCAAAACACCTTTATTTGCTCTGCAAATACAGTATCACTTCCCAGCACGAAGATTTTCTGGAGCCATCGACAGGTTGTCACCGCAGGGCAATTCCCCGCTGCCTCGGGCCTGGGAAACGGGCTTGGCAGCAGTTGAGGGCTGCGGGCAGGGCTGGCGAGTCGTGAGCCGGGTCCCTTTTCTGCAGCTCCTGGTGTGTGTGCAGACACTGGCTTCTTTCCAAGGCAAACTCATAGCAGTTGTCCTGCTCGAGCAGGTGAAATCACAGCCATTTGCTGTGGCCCAGAGGCTTTTGGGCCGTGCTTTTGTCAGACCCATATGCTGCTTATAAATCCTGTGGGTGACCTYGTAGCATCCTTGGGCAGTGTTTCCCACCCTCAGGCATGTACCCTCGCGGGGACACCCAGCATGTATGAGGAACTCCACCTGGCTGACAACGAAGAACAATGAAGCAGTATTGTTTTTCAGCACAAAAACAAAACTGGGCCAGTTTCTAGACAAAACAGACCCGTGTGAGGAAATTAATTTGGTGCTAAGTTATTTCACTGTCTGACAACAATTTGTCGGCTTCCAAAAATGCCCAGATTAATTGTAGCTGGGGCAGATTGAGCTTTCGTGTGYGGCACTGATGTGTGTGAAAAGCAGGACATGCTCTGGGAAGCAGCGTCTCTGCCTGCTCTCAAACCCCCCAAGCTGCAAGGCAGCCCCAGCCAGGCACGGAAACTCCTGCCTCCTGCAGCTCTAACTTGAATTGTTTGGCTGCTAATCCCACCTGAAGCCAAAATAAGCAATTTTAGCAGAAAAGATTATTTAGGAACCTTGTTCCTGACATGAGCAAATGCAGACTTGTTGCTTCTAAGGTCCATTAAGCTAGAAAACAGCACAATTGGCAACAGGCAGGTGCATTTGGTTTGTCTACTGGCAAGTCTGCCTTAAAAATAATAAAAGATGACAACAGCCTGGGAAGAACATAGTTTAGGGAGCAGAGCATCACTGGGGTCTTTGCACAGCCCATGCAGTGTGGCCACTTGTGTTGTGGCCACTTGTGTCCTGCAAAGCAGCGCAGGATCGTGCCCAAGGAGCTCACATTAAGAGGCACCTTTCAACTGTTCGTTTTAAAAATACAGCTGTAGGATCTCAGCAGCAACTTGGGATAAAATATCAGCCCCTTTCACACCAGCAAAGGTTTCATCTTGCAATGATTAATTCAGCTAGTGCCTCTCCCCCTGTAATTTGTTGGGATTTTTTAATTGCCTGATTTTTGTAATGAGAAGCTTCTGTGGCCTCGGGATTTACCTCTTGTTCCTGAACTGAATATTGCATCTAGCTGAATAGGTGATAATCTTTCTGTATGACTTACTCATAAATATTTTGTTGCAAAAGCTGAAAGTACCATGGAACTAAAGTGATAGCTCTGATGTGAACTAAAGTCTTGAGGTTAGTTCACTGCAGTACCTGTTGCCTTCAAAACCATTGCTCGCATGAAAATTGTTTGGAAGAATGGGTTTGATTAATGAGTTTAATTCTAAAGCAATAAATTCCAAAAGAAGTTGTTTCTGAAAACAGTATTAGATGTGGTTTTTAGCAAGAGTTATTAATTCGGCTGTGGATGCAGAATATAGCTGACTTGAATAATTTGTGATTAAGGTATTTGGCTATATTATTTGAGAGAGTTCTTTGTGTAACTATGATACTTTTTTTTCCTTTTAAGTTAGGAATTGTAGGGAAAAAAGTGATTATCTATTAGCTGAAATATTGTGAATTCCTAAACTTGTTCTGTTACCTCTGTGTGTCAAACCTTCCCGTTCTGCTCCTGGCTCCTGCTGTATCCTCTGAAGGCATCAAAACAGAAGAGGGCCTGAGCCACTCGCCGGGCCAGAGCGGCTTCCTTGGCTACAGCTCCAGCTTCGGCACACCAGCAGCCGGCCAGGCGCCCTACACCTACCAGGTGCACGGTGAGTACAGCTGGCAGAAACCAGCTCCTGCGCCAGATTTGGTCCTCATCTTTTGCAATTGGAGCAAAAATCAACACAGCGCAGGTGGCCGAGGCTGTGTGAAGAGGGATCCTCGGTGTTTTGTTCATTAAAGCATTAATTCCTGGGTGAGGTACTGGATTCAGCAGCAGTGTGTCTTAAAAAGCCTTTTATACCACCACTTCAAGCTTTGCCTTTCTGCAGGGATTGTTGCTGTGGGAGTGCAAATTCCTGGGTTCTCAGTGGAAACAAAGCAGAGATACTTTTCAGTTTCCCACAAACAGCGATGCCAGCTGCTGCCCTGAGCTGTCCTGAGCAAGCTGTTCCCTGGTAGAACTGCGGTGACCACTGGAACTGTTGAGACATAAGTAATAACTGTCAAAATATATTGACCTGCTTTAACCCCAAAAATACCAACACCATTAAATAACTAAAGGTTACTGAGGTGAAGTTCAACAGAGCTGAAAGCAGCTGTTTTCCCCCAAGGTTCCTGAGCTTTAGTAAGTTTAGAATAACTGTTTTTTGACTGTTGTCAAAATAATAATTGATTATAAAATAATGAAGTGAGCCCCCTCGAGGCTTCAAGGACAGTGCCTTGTGCTTTGAGGTTTATAACACGTTTTCATGTTTTGTTGTACAACCTTGAAGGTCAAAATGCATTTTTTTCTAAAAATGGAAGTTGGAGTTCTTCTCTGATCATTTAACTCCATGAAGAATCATATTCATATGAAGAATCTCCTGAAACTCAATGTTCTGTTGCTAGCTTCATGAAAATTACGAGAGTTTAAATCTGAACTGAAATGAAATATATGAAATGAAATATATAAAAACGGTGTCATTTTATTTATTTTAGTCCATTTCTAGCAGGATGGAATTTGATTTGTTTGAGCCTTTTGTTCAGGAACCTGAAGCCCTGCAAAGAATGAGGAACAATTCTAGCATAATGACAGATGAGAATAAAGCATAATCAAAGCTTTATTGATCAAAGCCATAGCTTTACCAATATTTTAGGCTTGAGAAGTATGAGTTTGTTCTGAGAGGTCCTTAAAATATCACATCATCTCTGTGCTTCTACCTTCGATGCGAGGAATGGCAGGTTTGTTCCTCGTGCCCTGATTTCCCTTCAATGTTTGAATTGGACTTATCTAATACACGGTAAAAAATGAGTTTTTTGTTTCCTGCTAAGCCCAGCACATTGCATTTGGAAGTGCTTTATATTGGATGTGAACAGAACAGTTATTTGACTGAGAAAAAAAGTGAAAAGCATTTTATACTAAAAGTGATTTTGGAAAGCTGAGGACTGCAGGGTGACTTGCTGCTGATTCTTGGTGTACTAATGTCATCAAGAGTTCCTGTCTGTTACCCTAAGGTGATTTTTGTGTCTTGGGTCCTTAACAGAATATTTTGGAAGCAGCTGGGTTGGATGTGTCCAACTTGGAAAGTGAGGCCTCTGGTTTTCTTCACCTGCAGGCTTCTTCCATCCCACCCCTAAAAGGGGTTTGATTTTTGGCTTCAGTTTTACTCTTTGAATGTCTCCTCCTTTTCCCAAGACCGTGTTATGCTCAGTTAGCAGCAGAAATCCTCTTTGGGAAAACTGTCGCTTGCAATTTCCAGCAGTCCTGGGGTGTCACGAGTTGCTGCTGCCTCATTTAAGGCCTGCAGTGCTGTGTCTGTGGGTTCTCGGAGCCCCAGCAGCCGTGCTCCTTCCTGGCCAGCTACTGGCTGAGCAGATGCTCCTGGCTGTAACACCACGACTGATGAAGCACAGGCATCTTCTGCAGCCTTCTATGACTGGTATATTCCTGTCTAGGTTTCTGTTGGATTTTGTTTCCCCAGAAAATGCTCTGGCTCCGCATGTGCTTTGTGTTATCTTGGGAGCTGCTTGAGGAGGCAAACTCTTGGCTCACTTGAGACTGGAGTTTTTTAAGGTGGCCCCTGTGTTCAATCAAGAGGGTTAAAGGAGCAAATTTTGTGCCTCGGCACTTGAAAACATTAACGCTGGCAGAAATTACTGACACAACCRTGCGTGTTGTAAAACAGCCCAGGAGGAGCTTCATGCACATGCTCCAGGTGCTTCCAGATACTGTTCCCTAGGGCAATGCTTTGGTATTAGGTGAAATCACTTCATTTTGTTCAGATTTTTATGTCAGGCAGATCATTTCAGCCAGCTCCCTAAGCCCTTAATGCAAAAGGAAAACAAAAGAAAACAGTTTCTGCAAGTGGCAGGTGTCTACGCCAAGGCAAATGGAGCAGGACTAAATGTGTCTTCCTGTTGTAAACAAACATTCCCACCCTTCTCCTTGCTCAAGAGCAGAAGAGACTGAAGTGCCGTGACCGTGAGGTTTATTTACCTTGCTGGGTGCTGCTGAAAGGCCCGAGGAGATGGCTGGAGGCTTCCCGTGCTACTTGCTCCCAAAGAACGGGCACCCGCGTTCCCGGGACGTGGGCACCGTTCCCCAGCACTCATGGAGCTGCCCAGCCCAGCACCATGTGTGCCCTTGCTGCCTCAGTCCTCTTGGTCACTGTGTTGCTGCTCCCAGGAAACAACTCTGGGCTACAGGCTAGCGCAGCTGCAAGGTTTTATTTATGTCTTTTTGTAAAATCAATTTTCAGGGAGACTTTAAAAGTCTTTCCCCCCTTCAACGACGAAATGGTCATTATGTCGTGTCCAGGGAGAGAGGCAATCTTGAAGACAGGGGTGTGTGTGGTGGCTCAGCAAGGAAAGGGACCGCCGGGAGGGTGAGCTAGCCAGTTTTGCCTTTTAATATAGGAGGAAAAAACTGTTTTCTCAAGCTAATTTCAACACATACTGTAAGACGGTAATAGTTGAAGCACGTAAGTGGAATAACTTTGCTGCTTGCCTGCATTTAGCACCAGCTCCTCAGAGCTAACTAATGAAGTCATCTGCAAGCAGGAGTGCTTGGTTAGACCACAAGTCTCCAGCACGTTCTGCAGGGCCTCAAATGCTCTCTGGCCCCATAGCTGAGAATTCCGTGGTGCAGCCGGTGAATAGGCACATGTCACGAGCGCGTTACACCAGTCAGAGAACTAAGCAACCTCTAGGGTGACAGGAACTTGGTCCCACAGCACTCTGGAAGAAATTTTCTTCCCTAAAAGCTGGTAGCTTTGCTCTCCTGTCCCTTCAGCAGAAGTTCTGGCTGAGATGGACGCGTGAGGTTAAGGCCTCTCCTCCTTGGTGGCTGTTTTTGGTAAGATGATGCTTTTCCAGACAGAACCTGCTTTCCTTTATGTCTGTTCGTTTCCGCTACAAAAGCAGGTGGTGCAGGTGTGATTGGGCTGGGTTCAGCTTTTCATTCTTAACTCTGGTTATCAGTTGTATTGTGGATCTTGAGCTGCAACAGAATCCGTTGAACAGCAGGGATGAGAATAGGACAGACTTATGGTAAATGGAGAAAAAATATTTTACAGACAGTCAGAAGGGGAAATCTGTTTTCATGCTTCCCTACCATGAAAATAAATTAAATGTAGAAGGGTTAGAAGCCAAATATCTGATACAGGTCACATATACATATATATATATATATATATACACACACATATATATAAAAGATAATATATATGTATGCATATAAAAACTGTATCACTGAGGTACATGAGTAAAAGTAATGATTTTAATTGCCAATTATACTCCTGACTTGTCAAAAATAATCACACCTGAATAGTTCCATGCCTCAAAGAAAAAGCTAATATTTTCTGACCAAATCTCCCTTGTGTATCTCCTTGTTTGTGATACTGTGCCCTACAGAGCTGATCAGAAAGACTCATAAAACCACATGCTTCTATAGCTTGTGGTAATTCTTAATTTTCATCCATTTTTACCAAGCTCTAAATAGCCACTCAGAACATGAAATGAATGTTTCAGTTAAAAATACTTTTCTTGGAAAACCTGAGCCCTCTTGTTTTTATAGCTGCCCTCAAGACATTTTTTACCCATTCCTTCTCCAGCCATTGGGCTGTGGCACCCTTTGCCTATTAGGAATGGCCTTACTTAGTTTTCCAGAAACTAAGAAACTAAAACTTTTCCAGGTGTGTGTACCCTTGATTGCTGGAGGAGGAGGCTCTTGGGGTTGAAAACTGCTCTTTTGGTGCTGTATAGGCACTGGGAGCTTCAAGCAGCATTTCCATCCAGTCTTGCCAGCAAGTAGCCCCATCTCTGCTCTGGCCATTTGCCGTTCCCTAATGCTTTGACCGTCCTTCATTTTGTTATGAAGAGAGGACTAAGGCTATAGGCCCATAAACGTTCTCAATTTTGGTCCTTTATAGACTTCCTTTATAGGAAGGAGTATTTCCAAGAAGTTTCAAGTCATTATAACGGAACAGAATTTGGCTGTATAAAGGGCCAAGRTTATTATCAAATGCTTAAATAAATCATTTAATCAGCTATGTAAAATACTACGAGAAAGCTCTGCCAGCGTGTTAGCTAATGCACAAAGCCACGAGCTCTGCAGGGAGGGCGCGTAGCCAGCACARGGGAGACCTTCCCGTGGTTGCCCCGTTACTGCACATCAGGCCAGCCCTTCTCAGCTTGTCACTAATTCCTGCACAATTCCCTGCTCCTCAGTTGTTACTGCTGAAGTGGCAGCTGGTATGAAACTTGTAAAATGTAAAATTGCACAACAGCTACAACTGTGGCCAAAGACCACTGCAGATCCTGTCTTTGGGCAGGAAAAGATTTAACTACCGTAGGATTTTATTTTATTTTATTTTATTTTATTTTATTTTATTTTATTTTATTTTATTTTATTTTATTTTATTTTATTTTATTTTATTTTATTTTATTCGTATCCAAATCCATTTACCCACAAAATACTTTTTAAATGACAAAGGAAAATTCAGTTACATAACTGGGATAGCTCACGTTTGCCAAGGAATTGCAAGGCAGCATTGAGTTCAGTGCAGCAATAAATGTGAAGCCAATGACCTATGCACTGAAATTTGCTGCTACTGAGCATTTATTTTCT